AGGCCCCAAAGTAGTTCCTTTCTGGGGTTCAGAGGTAGAATCATCCCAAAAAGGAACTACTATGGGGCCTATGGGTAACCCCTAAACCAAAACCCCTAAACCAAACACCCTAGAACTGAACCCTGTGGCTTTAGGACTCATTTCAAGCGGCCTGGGTGATTCGAAACCGCTTCGTCAATGATGCGCTTGTCGTGGGGACAGCTGGCCTTCGATTAGGGTTTAGGGTTTAGGGTTACATCCCTGCACCTCCTAAACCCGTAAACCCGCAGCCCTAGACTACCCACTAACCCTATAGATCCCTTCTCGTACCCTATTATAGTACCCCTTCATAACTGTTGTCCAGGGGCTCTCTTGTTAAGGGTTTAGCGGAAAGCACCCGCGAGCCCACGCCGGAAGTCACCAGAAACCCCCGGTTTCGCTGTAGAAAGTCCTAAACCCTCAACCCTAAACCCTCAACCCTAAACCCTCAACCCTAAACCCTAAACCCTAAACCCTCAACCTTTCGTGTCGGCGTCGCCTGCTGGTCCTACACGTCTTCTCGGAGGCACAAGGAGCTTCCGGAGGGTAGAGACCCTACAGTATTAAAGCCCCCAAGCCTGATATGAGGGCCTTAGATTCAGTTTAGGGTTCAGGGTTTAGGGGCCTGATATTAGACCGGGGCTTTGTCTTATGCAGCCTGAGTATGTGCAGTTCGGGCGTCAATGTGCTATAGAAACCAAACCTTTACCAGCACAAGGAACCAGCTGATCCTGGGTCAGGGAAATCTCTAAAGCCTAGACCCCTAAACGCGAGCTGTTGCAGTGTTTCCCCGTCCGTCGGCATGTCAGCGGTTGTTTAGGGTTTGGGGGTCCAGGGCTGTAGGGCTTTAGGGTTTAGGGGTTTAGCGCTTTTGGGGTTTAGGGCGTTGGGGAGGGGACTTCTGTGGGTTGCACTTTGCCGAATGGACAACCCTCGAAAAAACACAACCCTTAAAGCAACCCTCAGAAAGCCAACCCTTAAAGCAACCCTTAAAAAAAACTTAAAGCAACCCTTAAAAAAAAACAACAACCCTTTCAAGCATCAGAAAACACCAAACCCTTTAAAGCAACCCTCAGAAAACCAACCCTTTAAGGCAACCCTCAAAAAACCACAACCCCGTAAAGATACCCTCAGAAAGCACCAAGCCCTTCAAGCAACCCTCCGAAAGACACCAACCCTCAAAGCAACCCTCAGAAAACACCAAACCCTTTAAAGCAACCCTCAGAAAGACCAACCTTTTAAAGCAACCCTCAGAAAACACCACCAACCCTTAAGGCAACCCTCAGAAAGACATGCCTGGGCATCCTGGAGGCGCAAGGTGGACAGCTTCTTGCCTTGTAGGGACACGGCTCAAGTACCTACATGCTTAGGGTTTAGGGTTTAGGGTTTAGGGTTTAGGGTTTAGGGTCTAGGGTTTAGGGGCTTCTTGCCTTGTAGAGACGGCTCAAGTACCTACATGCTTAAGGACTACCTTAACCTACCGAAACCTACTTTTTTGTAGGATCCCTATAAATCCCATATTAGGGTTTATGATAAGAGCCTACAAAAAAAGTAGGTTTTGGTAGGTTGAGGTACAAGGAAACTATAATCAGGCTCTCTGAACGGGTTCGGGGTTTACAGGTGTCTAACGCTTTTGAGAGACAGCCAAGGCCAAGGGTCTAAGATTTCGGGGGGTTTCAGGTTGCGGGCTCAGGGTTCTGAGGGGTTTAGGGGATCTAAGATTTACTGGGTTTAGGGTTGAGGGTTTAGGGTTTAGGGTTTGTAACCCTAAACCCTAATAATGTAGGGGCTTAATACTTAAAACAGGGTCTCGGGCTCCTATTATCGTATTGTTATAGTAAGGAGCCCCCAAAATAGTACAGGTAATCACTTAGGCTTCCATATGGGTGGTTGTCAAAATTATGGTCCCTTTTTGGGTCCTTATTATAATACGGCACCTATTATTTAGGGTACCCCAAAAGGGACCATAATTTTGACAACTACCCATATTAAATCCCAAAACCCTAAAGCCTAGACTCGGAGTTGATCTCATTAGAGGCTTCGACGGTGGAGTCTCGCTTAAGGGCTCCGTATAGAGTTCTCTGTACTGTAGTACTAGGGTTGATGATATGAATCCTGCATTACCCCATAATAAGGAGTATACCATAACTCCCATATAATTAGGGATTACCCAGAATAAGGAATATCAGAACTCCCATAGTTTAGGGTCCTTAAGGTCATGCAGGATTTATATCACCGACATTGGGATCCCTTTTAGGGTCCTTTCTTTATAGGGTGCCGTACTATACCGGAGACTTCAAAAGGGACCCTGATTTTAGAGACCTACCCAGTGCACTCCAGCCGCCGGAAGCACCACAAAGGGTTAGGTTAGGGTTTAGGGTTAGGGTCATGGGTTCTTCGAAATCTTGAACCCAAGAATGCGCTCTTTCTTTTGTGACGAAGCTCGATTCCTACTAATAATAGACCCTAAACCGAAGCTTTGCGCCGCTACATGCCGAATCTCTATGATGAAATCTGAAGCCTCCAGCCGCAACATAAAACATTGAAGAATCCCACTCCCGAAGCCCCTAAACCGACCCTAAACACTTGGGTGCTGTGTTAACCCTAAACCCTAAACCCTAAGCCCCTAAACCCCTAAACGACCCTAAACACTTGGGGTGCTGGGTTCAGCCATAGAGCTGGCTTGCTTCGCAAGGCCTGGATGCTAAATCCTTTGCAGCACTCTGTTAGTTCAGGGTGTATAGGGTTTAGGGTTTAGGGTTTAGGGTTTAGGGTTTAGGGTTTAGGGTTTAGGGTTTAGGGTTTAGGGTATATAGGGCTTCCATAAGGCTTCCAAAAGGTCTATAGAACTTCTATGAGGCTCCCATAACGGGAACTACTCACCTGAAAATGTCACAAGACACAGTGAACAGCCACCTCTTCGAATTCGAATCCCTAATTTAGGGTTTAAAACCCTAAGCCTTAAAACCTAAACCCTGAACCCTGAACCCCAAAACCCGAAGCCCTGAACCCTAAGCCTTAAACCTAAAACCTAAACCCTGAACCTTGAACCCCAAAACCCTAAGCCCTAAACCCAAAGCAGCCTTGGTTGCATGCAAGCTGCTGATCTTCAAGGCAAGATCGACGCTGCTCTGGCCATGGTTCATGACGCCCCTGAGCTGTCTTAGGACTTTAGGGCATCTTAGGGCACTTTCGGGCATTTCAGGATTCTATGGCATCTGGATTGCTTTAGGGTCCGGGGTTTGGGGTGCAGGAAAGTTTAGGGTTTCAGGATGTGTCTTTTGCTGTTTCGGTGTTGGCTTAAGGGTTTGGGCTTACGTAGTTACGCTGGTAGGACAGCGTTAATTACACCTTAAACCTAAAACTCTAAACATTTAAGCAGGGCCTGAGCACTCCATCCTACGAGCCAAAAGCCCCAAACCCGAAGCACCCAAGCCCCAAACCACCAAAACATGAACCCGAAACCCCAAACCCCAAACCCCAAATCCTAAACTCTAAACCCTAAAGCCCTAAACCCCAAATCCTAAACCCTGAACCCTAAAGCCCTAATCCTAAATCCTAAACCCTAGACCCTAAAGCCCTAATCCTAAACCCCACGTGCTAAAGCCCCCAGGAAAGCCCAGACGCGTGGAAGTTCCAAGCAGGAGGCCCTGGAAAGCGCCGCCTTCTCTGCTGAGCATCTCGGTCTGGAAAAGCTCAAAGAGGCACCAGGACCTCTTTTTTGTTGGGATTGGGGTTTAGGGGTTTTGGGTTTTAGGGGTTCAGGGTTCAGGGTTCAGGGTTCAGGGTTCAGGGTTTAGGGTTTAGGATTTAGGATTTAGGGTTTAGGGTTTACGGGTTTAGGGGTCAGGGTTTGGGGTACTTGGAGGATCATGGGACTTAGTAAGTAGGGTTATAAGTTATTCAGTACCTTAACTGCGGTTATAAGTATTTACGGCTGTAGTTACCTGAACCTGGTTCAGGGCCTAAGGTTTGTAGGGGTTGGAGTCTAGAGTAGGCTTTGGGGTTATATTAGGTATGATAAGTATTTCTCTTATATAGAAAACCTCGAAGAAGCACCAGGACCTTGCAGGATCGGGTGTAGGGTTCGGAGTTAAAGGCTTAGGGTTCAGGGTTCAGTGTTTAGTGTTCTGGTGTCTATAAATCACTCTGATGCAAAACAGAACCCTAAACCCTAAACCCTAAACCCTTCGATACATGATTGCTCAGAACCCCCTGTTCTTCCAATGCAACAAAAAGCGAAAACTGACTGCTGAGGAACATCCAGCTGTTGAGGTTTGGATTCTAAGAGCTTGGGTGTGCGGGTTTAGGAGTTGGGTTTAGGGTTCAGGCCCGACACCCGAAAAAGGAGTACATCACGGCCCAGATGGCCCAAATCGACACCCTTTCAGAGCCCGTACTCAGAGACGAATACCCCTTACTGAAGCATTGTTTACCTCTTCCTCATTTCGACAGCCTTGGCTGCTTCTGAAGCCCTTGACCTCCGCCCCAGCACTTCAACAGGCTCTGATTTAGTCCTAAACCCCACAGCCCAAAACCCAAACCTTACAATCCCGAAGCGCGAAACAGGGGTCGTCTTGGACCTGTTCCAGGGATCCTTACAATTGGGTGTAAGGTTTAGGCATCCTACGATGCAGGATTTACCGAAATTCTGACACCGAAATGCCACAGGCCCTGCAGCCCCAAAAATTGTTCAGGTGCCAAGGGGTCGAAGGGGCTTCGGTTCGGGGCTTCGGGTTTTAGCAGATTTCGGGATTCAAGAACAACGAACGGGCTAAGGCCTAAACCCTAAACCCTAAACCCGTTGCAATAGTTCCTTGGGAAACCTTATACAGGGACCTTTACACTCAGAATAGGCTTGAAGAGGGTTTGGGCTAATTTGCCACGAATATGTACGGACGATGACAATCAGTGGAGAATTCTACTATTCTTGTCGGTCCCTATGTTAGTTGGGACGGTGCAGCCCGGAAAAAAACAAGAAATTACCCAAAACACCTGGTGCTCCTTCTGCCTGTGTAAACCCCTGACCCACTCCTGCTCGCTTGCCCGCCCTCCCGAAACCGCTGCCTCGTCAAGGGTAGCACCTCCTCATCGAGCACCACCAAGGTGCCCTGACACGAACTGCTCCTCAAAGCCAGGTAGAAGGACGAAGTCTGCACCTTCTCGCATCTGGCTCAGCGTGCTTGGTGCTTTGGTGTTGATGCGGATTTGTTGTGTAAGTGTCTCTGAGTCACGTTTTGTTCAATATGTTTGCGTACCCATCCAACTCCGCACAAAGGCCCAACCGCCCAAAGCCAATCAAACCTCTACCCGGGTACTGCCTAAACCTAAACCCTAAATCCGAAATAACCCTATCACTCACCGCAATGCTTTGTGAACGACCTGCTACCTAAACCCTAAACTCTAAAACCCTAAGCCCCTAAACTGAAACCCCTCAACCCTAACCCCCAAATCCCCAAACCCTAAACCCTAAACCCTAAACCCTAAACCCTAAACCCTAAACCCTAACCTCAGATCATCGGTTTGGGACAGGGGTGCTTCCCTGGCCTGTCGGCTCGAGGGCTCCCCTTTCAGGGCTTCAGGGGCTGAGTTTAAGGTTTAAGATTTAGGGTTTAGGGTTTAGGGCTTGAGGGTTTAGGATTTAGGGTTGAAGATTTAGGGTTTAGGGATTGAGGGTATAGGATTTAGGGTTTAGGGTTTAGGGTTTAGGGTTGAGGGTTTAAGGCTCAGGATTTAGGGTTTAGGTTTGGGTTCCACTAGGGTTTAGGCTTCGGGGTTCGAGTTTAGGGGCTTAAAGTTTGCGCTTGGGTTTCGAGCTTAGGAACGCCGAACCGTACGACAAAACAAAGCATTCAGACTACTGCAGAAAACCTGAAGGGTTGGGTATTGGAGAAGTACCTGGAATCGCAAGCCAGCCCGCCGAAGCCTGTAAATCAAGTCTGCCGAGCGAGATTCAAAATCAGCTTCGCACCCTGAAGCCTGCACTATGTTCCCGACACTTCTTTGGTATTGTCTGGCTCAGGAAACCGCAAACACCAAAGGTTTGGACCTTAAACATTAAGCTAACCGAACCCCGACACCCGAAACCTCAACAGCATACGCAATTCCTCAGGCCTTAAGACCCTAATGTGAACCCTGACAGCCCTAACTCCAAAGGCAGAAACCCTTAACCATGCAACGTACCAACATCCACTCAACTCCCACCAGTATTAGACTAAAGACACTCAAACCTGCCGAGGTAGAATCCAGCCACAATGCCTCTTCACCGAGCTCTTCCGTCACCTTCCACTGGTTGTTTGCGAAAGTGCAAATCCAGTAGCTCGTCGTCCTGATGCAAGAACCAGCTAGCATACCAACAGGAAGTTATGTACTGGGTGTCGATGTCAACAGTCCCCACAATCATCAATAACGAGGGCCCAAATCGGCATCCAGTATTATAGGGTTCATATTTCAAGGGTTAGGTTTTGCAATATGACAACTGTGGCTTTGGTGTTTACGCATCCGAACTTCAATCGTAGCCTCCTAGCTAGCTTTGATTTGATTTTGCTTGAGTGCCTTTGTGGGCCGTCGTGTAGGGTTGGGCCTCTGCAACTTGACCCAGCAAAAGCATGACTAGGGTCAAAAGTAGCACCACCGTGGCTTCTATATAGGTCCGTTTCCACCAACACAAATAAAGAGCAGCAACAGCTCTGCCGGAAGATGTTCGCATACCTTAAAACCCCTAAGTCCGAAACCAAAAGCCGCTCTAGCATCCGAGAATCCGATCCGCAGCGTGCCCCTTCAAGCAGTCGACGAAGTGCTGGAATGGCATGCCCCAGTAATGAGAAACGAACCAGGACACCTCATGTAGGGGCATAATAAATATAACTTAGTTTTGGAGGTATTAATTTTGCGACTGCATGTATACCAGCAAGCCCGCATGAACAAGTCCTAGATATTCAGGCCCATATTTCGGCGAAGAAAGTGAGCAAACAGGCCACAGAAGTGTTGGTTTAAACTTACGCAGTGTGATCTTGAATGCGAGTACTTCCAACAAACAACCCAAACATACCTTCCCCAGTATTTCGGCAGACCAGCCATGCAAACCCTACATAAACCGTACTTCACGCGATTGGAAGGAAGAAGCCCGTGTTGAATTTCCCATACAACCCCTCCCTCACAGAACCCTTCTACTAAGCCGTATACCATCGTAACAGTATGCACCACTTCCTGATTATTGAGACCTCTGCCTGCTTCTGCTGGGCCCAGTCACCGGGGAGGCCCCTGCCAACTCTGCGTAGGACAGCCGGTCTCGGGCAGTCAAGGGCTTGACGATGTTGCTGCACAGGTAGTACATGTTCCTCCAGGTTTTGGATGGCCGAAGTCCGAACAAAAAGGCAACAGGCCTTTACTTCCAGCTTGGGGAAAGCTAATGAATATACAGGCGACGAACACAAACAACATACGTGTGCCTTTATATGCATATGCATGTGTATGTGTGTGTGTATATGCCCATGTATGCGTATATGCAGATGTATATGTTTATGTACATGTACAGGTGCATGTACATGTTAAGGTGCATGTGCGTGCATAGGGGCATGCACAGGTATAGGTGCAGTACATGTATACGCGCATGTACATGTATGTATGTATGTATGTATGTATGTATGTATGTATGTATGTATGTACGTACGTGTATGCATGCATGCATGCATGTATGTATGCGACGTATGTATGCATGTATGTATGTAAGTATGTGTGTATGTATGTATGTATGTATGTATGTATGTATGTATGTATGTATGTATGTGACGTATGTATGTATGCATGTATGTATGTATGTATGCATGTATGTACAATATGTATGTATGCATGCATGCATGCATGTATGTATGTATGTACATACGTGCATGCATGCATGTATGTATGTGACGTATGTATGCATGTATGTATGTATGTATGTATGTATGTATGTGACGTATGTATGTATGTATGTATGTATGTATGTATGTATGTATGTATGTATGTGTGTATGTATAAATGTATGAATGCATGTATGTACAATATGTATGTATGCATGCATGCATGCATGCATGTATGTATGTATGTATGTAGGTAGGTATGTACAGTATGTACGTATACATGTATGTACAGTATGTATGTAAGTATGCATGCATGCATGCATGTATGTATGTATGTATGTATACATATGTATAGATATATGTGTATGTGCATGTTTATGTGAACACGTATATGTATATGATAGGCACAAGCGTGTGATCCCGGCTCGGTCCCCCCCCCTCCCTTAATGCCGGCGACGAACAGTATTGATATGGTGTGCACTGTGCGTTCTGCACCCCCTCCCCCATTTTGCCCCTTTGGTATCCCCCGGCCCCCTGTGCCAGCTGAACCCCAAGACGCGCCACCCAAACATTCCACAGGGCAGGGAAGTCTTAAGGTGACTATGCTACAGAAGTTTCCTGAAAATCTTCAGCATACTGCTGTTGTCTGAAGTCCCGGCCACGGCCGGCATCTTTGTGTTGTCCATGTTCTATCGTTATAACTGTCGTCCGTATCACAAGACGACAAGTATGCGATGCGAAGCAATACCACACAGTCCTAGGCTCCGTGGCGTGCTTACGTAGGTACGTGTTTGTGTAGACATATGTACATGCATGCAGTTTTTCTGCGATATCGAAACCGACACCCTTTCAGACACCCACCTGACACCAGCAGCCTGTCCTCTGATGACCGATGTAGGCGCTGAAGAAGTCCTGGTGCCGCCAGACACGTACAATACCAATAACATATGTATATATATATATATAATAACTGCATCAGTGTGTCAACATTACAAGCAATACCGCCCCTGTGCTGACAATTATTCTACCTTGTGCTTGTTTGTAACTAGTGAAGCACTACGAAGACATACGAAGACCACATATCGTGAACAGCTGAAACCAAAATTGAAAAAAAACAACAACGACGGAGAAGAACTGGGACAAAGCCACTGCTCCCCATGCATTAGGGGTCAAAATGTCAAGAATAAGGCGTTTAGGGCACTCAAAACTCTACATCAATAACTAGACTCCGAACTTTCTAAACACCAAACCCATGACCCTGAACCTCCTCCTCAACCTGCCATCAAAATCCGTTGCTCTTGGTGCGGCAAGGGTCGTAAAGATCGTGAATCTTGCCGAACCCAAGTCCTGGCCACAAGCGATGTCAGCCGAAACAGCGGTCGAAGGCTCAACTCTCGACTCCCCTTCATGTGAGCAGATTTTTGTTTCTGGAGATCTCTGTGGGAGAAAGGCTAGCCCCACAAAGCAGAAAACCAAAAACAAACACCCTAAACCCTAAACCCTAGACCCCTAAACCCTAAACCCTAAACACCCAAGAGTCTTAAGCAAAATCTGTCGAGACCCGCGATGAGGCGGATTCTTGTGGATCCAGCAGGCTTCGGGGTTTTAGTTTCAGAGCTTTGGATTACGACTCGGGCCCCATAATAGTAGAATAATAATAGTGATAATAGTAGTAATCATCGCAATCAATAGCAAGATACCCTTGATGATATGAATCCTGCATTACTTTAAGGACCCTAAACTGTGGGAATTATGACTTATACCTTGTTCTGGGCAATGCAGGGCTTATATCATCGACCATATGGTGAGCGAAGTAAGATTTATATCATCAACCCTAAACCCTAAACCCTAAACCCCTAAACCCTATAAATCCTGAACCCTAAACCGTGTAATCGGGCTTCTGGGGCCAGGTCATGGGGTCTAGGCTTCGGGGCGAGGGTCAGACACGAGTCTACGCTGGACTTCATGGAAGCCGGCGACTACCACCGACTCCTGCTAGGGTTTAGGGTTTAGGGTATACTACGTACTACTACTACTACTACTACTACTACTACTACTGCTACTGCTACTGCTACTACTACTACTACTACTACTACTACTACTACTGCTACTACCTTCTGCTACTGCCGCTACTACTACTAATATTAATCATCATCACACTGCTAGGACGTCGACGACGACGACCACGACGAAGACGAGTAAACGATGGGGATGACGAAGCTGATGAGAACGATCATGATATATCATGACGATGATTGGGTGCTGTTTCTGACAACTACCAAAGCCTAAACTCTTGACTCCTTGACCCCACAACGGAACCCGAAGCCAAAACCCTGAGCCTAAATTCCAACTCCCCAAACCCTGAAAGATCTGCCGCCGAGTCTCCTCTTCCTGGGCCTTTGGGACAAGTGGCCGCTCGCGCCTGCGAGCAACCCAGGCGCCGCCCAGAAGGATAAGGTCGGTGGAAGCGCAGTCGTGCGGCCCAGAGTTTGCGAAGTCGACTCAGGTCACATGTGGTCCTTTGCCGTTCCGGCTGAAAGCAAAGGTTCAAGGGGAGGAGTTTAGAGAGCACTATAGGGGCCAAAACAATGACCCGTATCCTTTTTGGGGGGGTTCGTTATTTTAACTATAGTCTCATATACCCCAAAACCCTAGTCTAATTATTAAGGCCTCTACTATAGAACCCCATTGATGTAGATCCGTTCTAGAACCCTTTGAGGATGCCTTGAAAGGAACCCTAGTCTAATTACTAAGGCCCCTCTATTA